TTTTGTTCTTATATATTTAAGCAGAAAGAGTATGAGGATAAACTTGTACAATTAATGCAATTATATCTGATGTTCGATTGAACATTTAATTATTCTTGAAATTGAATCTTTTTTTCTCGGTGACTTAATACGGATGCGAGAATTTATTCGAAAAAAAAAGGACAAAAATTTAACAAAAGTTAAAGAAATCTAAATTTCATCATTGGCTAAAAAGCTATCAATATGGAATGATTGAGGTAGCTGATATTTTTGAATGATATCAATTAACATTAAAAAAGAAATGGCGGGGAAAATTGTGGAAAAAAATGTACAATTTGATAGCATGCCGTCATTTCACGTCCGTGATACGTGGTACCGCTGAATGAGCGCGTGATACTGATGAAAACTTGTTATAATAGAAATGAAAAAAAGAAGACTTGAAATTATTTTGTAATTTTATTTTCAATATATTGATTAAATATATAATCGATCGAAATATTGCATCCTAAAAACTAATTCAAGTTCAAGCAATGAGTAAAGAAGCGATAAAAATTGAGTATTTTATGCAACAGTTGTTATTTAATTAGAAGTTTTCAAGAAATTTTAAATTCTAACAAATTAATTTCCGTTAACTTAATTGACCTTCGATTAAGTCAATTGATTTCACGCCATAATGTATCCAAAAAAAAGAAGTTAAATTGAATAATTCTGTAAAAATTATTTATTTTGGCACTACAAGAAATGTACTTAATTATAAATTATCAACTTTCGAACTTCTAGTGTAATACTTTTAGTATTTATGTAAATCAATTCCAGATTAAAAAAATTACAGAGAAATATATATTTTGATCCATTAATTCATTAAGATTTCCACATAAAAAAAATATATTCACCTGATAATATTTATATCAGTCGGAAATAATTAAAATACTATGACAAATAGTTAAAAAGAATAGCATTGCGTCTTGTAAAATAGGAGAATATTCAAATTTAAAATGAAATAAAGATAAAAATTCATTTGGTGATAAAAAAGAAGGAACGAAAATATCGTAATTTGTTAAACTTCGTTTAATTTAGAATAGAATGCTTTTCACTTCAGTTCCATCCAAAATAATTTCTTTTTAACGTAATTGGTATTTATGCATAAATTATAACAGAATTATTTTAATTTTGACCTAATTTAATTTAGCTAAACTTCTCTCCCCCTCGCTCTCTCTCTCTCTCTCTCCCTTAAAAGTTTGATTCATTTTAAAAATTTAATTTTCAATTATTTTTCTTTTGTAATAATATTCAGCTTAAATCATTAAATCATTGAATTAAAAAAAAAAAAAAACAAGATTACCAATAATTTATTGTAATTCCTACACACTTAGAAATATATGCAATAAAACAATTGAAATGAAATTTTGCACAAACAAGCAATTAATAAAAGGAGGACAAATTGATTTAACAAAGAGATGAAGACGTTCTATACGCAACAGTATGGAAATTAGTTTTAGTTAATTGATCAAATAAAACATAACAGGTTTTATATACATACACACACACACACACACACACACACACACACACACACGTACATACACATACACGCACACACACATACAGAGGACGTACATGCAGACACACGTGCACACACGTTCACACACACACACACACACGTACACACACACATACACACATACACATCATCCATCATTGTATTTGAATGTGAACGGAACAAGAAATTGCCATTATGTTGTAAAATATCTTGTTATTTATAATTAGAAACGGTTGGCGCACCTTTTTCCATAGTTGAATAAATAATAAACCGTATATATCAACTCGATATCCACAATTATTTCAGCGAATATCAGCAGTATGTTTGAGAATTTTAAGAAACAAGTAAGGGTAAGTATTACTCTAACTCTGAGAAATAATTAAGCTTAAGTATTAACTCATGAATAATATAAATTATTTATTCACCTTCTCATAATCAACTTTACTTTTTCATTCTTTAAAATTTCGATTGATATTTCACTTTATGATGGTATAATTTTGGCTAACGTTATTATTAAAGTTGAAGAGATGATTGGAATGTTTATCGTGTTCGTAAATTACTTTTCAGTTCTCTTCCAATAAAGGTAATCAATTCTTCGATTCTTCACATTAATCCTAATAGTTATGACTGGAAAATTTACAAATAAATCAAATGAAAGTTGGAATTTGGTTAAAGTTTAAAAATTCTCAATTCTATTGTAGATGTTATTTAAACGGATGATAGATTTGTTGAAAAATTTAAATCAAATATCCCATTAAATATTTCTAAGACAAGAACAAACATAAAATGAACTAAAATCTGTTCATTTTCTAACTTGAATTTGTTATTTGTGGTCAGACAGATGGAAATTTTAGATGAGTGCCCTCTTCATTTTACATTATTGCTTTCAAAAATTTTGTCTAATTAAAAATCCCAGAAAAAAAAAAGTTCTTTTCTTGAGAATTAATTTTTTCGTTATGTGAATTGATATTTAAGACAAATTTTAATTGACCTTTAAGTGACATATTATGTAGCAAACAAGATAATATCGTACTTATAATTTAATAAACATCTATTTCAAATTTTTATTTTAAAATAAATTCAAGATTGACATTTTGAAGCAGAATGGCCTTTTAAATGACATACTATGTAGATAATCTGTAACTTAATGGAAATCCATTAAAAATTTTCTGTGTTTTCAGTACCAATTATATTTGTTTCATTCGTTAATCGGTGAAATAAATTAGTGGTTAAAAAAATGGAATTCATTTTAGCGTGATGTCATTTGCATTTTTTTTTTTTTTTTGTATAAAATCAATGCTATTCAGGGAAGAATATTCTAAAAAAGCATACAATCCATAAACTTTTGAAATTAGAATTAACAAGGTGAATAATTTTGTCATCGATTAATTTTATTTAATTTTTTTT